GGGGGTGTCCTGTGGACGGTACCCCTGGGCTGTTTAACAGTACCCCTGGGCTCTGCTCATTCGATCCCAGGAGCACCCCACCAGCTGTGACCACCAAAAATGTCTCCTAGTGAAACCGCCCCCAGTTGAGACCCACTGGTCTAGCGTCTAGACTGGAGCATGGAGGATGTGAGGCCAATTTACTCTGTGGGCAATGAAGGGTCAAGATAAAAGATGTGTCTGTCTGTGTGCTTGTGCACATGCATGTTGGACACGTGAAGTTCTCAGGCATATTAGTTCTTCATATTTTGCCCATGGAGGGAGAGAGTATAACAAGAACATGTGTTTTATGTACAAATAAAGTATATTCACTTACACTGAGTTTTATTAACCACTTTCCTGTCTATACATACACACTCATGTGGCATTCTTAAATTTTATACAAGAGGAATCATTTCATTATTTAAATGCAAATGGGGATTTAATGGTAAAATTCTCATATTTAGATAATTTACAAAATGTTAAATGCTACTGGTCTTAAAATTATTCATTGGGGAACTACACTGTTTATACTTCCCCATCAAGAAATTAGCTTCTGGGGGCTCCTAGGTGGCTCAGGCAGTTAAGCATCTGAGTCTTGATTTTGGCTCAGGTCATGTATTCACAGTTGTGAGACTGAGCCCCACATTGGACTCTGTGCTGAGCATGGAGCTTGGGATTTCTTTCTCTCTCTCTCTCTCTCTCTCTCTCTCTGTCCCTCCCCAGCTTCCCAGCTTGCACTTGAGCACTCCCTCTCAAAAGGAAAAAAAAAAGAAGAAATCAACCTCTGAAGACATTCTGATGGCTCCTCAAAATATTTTAAGCAACCGAATAACCATATAATCAAACAATTCCGCACCTGCGTTTATACTTAAGAGATATAAACCAAGGATTCAAAAAGACATTTCTATACCTATCTTCATAGCAGCATTATTCACAGAATAACCAAAAGGTAGAAGCAGCCCATGTGCACATCGATGGATGGATGGATGGATGGATAAATGTGATATAGACATACAAAGGAATATTATTCAGCCTTAAAAAGGCAGGACACTCAGACACATGCTGCGACACGGATAAAACTCGAAGCCATTACGCTAAGTGAAATGAGCCAGAAACAAAAGGACAAATACGGTACGATTTCTTTCTATGAAGTACCCGTGGCCAAAATCAGAGGCAGAAATGGAAAGCTGGTGGCTGGAGTTGAGGGAGGACGGGACGCCTGTTGGTTAATGCGAAACCAGTTTCAGTTTTGCAAGATGAAGAGAGTTCCCGAGAAGGGCTGCACGATCGTGTGGATGCACTTAGCACGACTCAAGTGTACACTTAAAAAATGAAGATGGAAAGCTTTACGTTCCGTAAAATTCACAACTGAAAAAACAAAATACAAGTGTCCACACCAGGACTCCTAGTGTTTTATTCTATTGTTTAGTGAGCTCCTTCATGGGAGAAAGTAGTATTTGTTGAGCGTCTCCGCTATGATAAACACTTTACATGGTTCTTACTTTAAGTTTATGTATCGGGGCATAATATCGTAATATCTGGGGCGCCTGGGTGGCTCAGTCATGATCTCATGGTTCGTGAGTTTGAGCCCCATGTTGGGCTCTGTGCTGACAAGTCAGAGCCTGGGGCCTGCTTCCGATTCTGTGTGTGTGTGTGTGTCTCTCTCTCTCTGCCCCTCCCCTGCTCTTTCTTTCTCTCTCAAAAATGAACAAATGTTAAAAAAAAAAAAATTAGTAATATTCATCTGAGGTAGGTAATATAATTTTCATTTTATATATGAGGGAACTGACACATGGAAAAGGCAATGAACTATCCCAATGTCACATGTATGAGTAGCAGAACAGAGCACCGAGTCTGGGCCCGTCTGACTCCAGAGTTCATGTTCGGCACCCTTTCCGCCATGGTTCCTCTGAGTCCCAAGCTGTGTCTTCTACCTGCTCATCCCTCACTCCCGGTCCATATGGAATCATTTTAAGACTTGCCTTTGGCGTGTCAAAGGTCTTGCATGAATTCTTCTGTGCTTCGTCCTCAAGGCCTAGTGAGCCGCAGGCACGCTGACTGAATGAAAAGGCTTTTCCTAAGCCTGAGCAGCATATTCCTGGGGCTTTAGGTGCTTAGAAGATGGATGGCAGTGTGGTGATGGAGGCCTGATGGAGAAGGCAGGAAAAGGCCACTAGCAGCTGGACAGCATATGTTAAGACTTCCGATGCGAATATGGTATCATGAAGTCATAATTCTAAGATGCTATTCAAGATGTGTTCCAAGTGCAAAAAAGGAGAAATGAATAAAAACGCAAACTCCATTTTTAACAAAACTGGAAGGCAACCCAAATCCCAGACCCTAAAACAGCTAGAAAAGCTGTCAAAAGCAAGGAGTTCAAGCGAGGCTCCTTTCCTTAGAGAAAGAAAAGAAAGGATACTACAGAGAGGGAACATGGGAGCTGGAGAGAAAGATCTGCCAAAATATACTGCCTGTGGGTAAAGGACACTCGCTCTGGGACCAAACAGATTCCTTGCTGGGGAGGCAGGAACGTCTGTGGACCTGGAGTGGGAAGCATAGGAGAAACCACCACAAACGAGCCATATTCGCCTCACAAGTTCAGCTTCATGGTGGCATCCGCATCGTGGAAAAGCCTGCAGAAGCTCGCTCTACTGGCTGGACGGAGATACAGGGTAAATGAACTCACCCCAAACCCTAGATCAGGAGAATGACTGCAGTCAGCCTGGAATTCAGACTTGGGACCTCCTCTAAACAAGCATCCTGCGAATAGCTAGTCCCTGAGAAACTCACCTGCTTGAAGAGGACTTGTAAGAATGAAATCTACACCGGATGTATACAAAGATACAACAAGAACAAAATTTGGAAAGAAACGGGAAAACCAAAAAGCAGACTAGGACTATGCACTGGAAAACCGCCGCCACGGAGGAAACGAATGACAGTAAAATCTTTTTGCAAAGCTGAAAAAAAGCAAACAGTGAAGCGAGAGCTCAGGGCAGAAGAGCAGGCACTTGTGGGAGGGGTGGGGAGGCGGCAACAAGAGAAGACCTCGCGGGCACCGCTGGGGGAGAAGTGGAAGGAAACAGTACGGAAATGAAGGTGAAGCTGGAAAGAAGCAAAGGGAGAAGAGACACTGCCGAAAGCGTAAGGAACAGAAAGGAGGGAGATGGAAAAAAGCAGGTACAATGAAACAGAAAAGGGGTTAAAAGGAATAGAGAAAAAGGAGAGTTAGAGAAGCCAGCAAAGGACATGCAGCGGATGTATCAAGGGAAACCAGGACGCGGAGCAAACACATAGGAAAAGAGGTGTTCATAAAGATTATGTGAAAGTATGATTCAAGAGGTTTCTGAAACGAAAGAGGGTCCACATACTGCAAGGCCACACTGTATCCTGGGGAAAACCGACCCACAACGGTCAACGCCAAGACAGACCCTGAGGGTAACATTTCCGGATTTTTGCAATGAGGCAAGAAGATCAAATTATTTAAGAGAGGGGCAAAATCTTGAAAATTTCCACAGTAAAATCCAATGCTAGCAGAAAAAGATGTAATACCTACAAAATTCCCAAAGAGAGAAAGTGTAATCCAAGAATTTATACCAGTCAAGAGTAACAGAATAGGATAAACCCTGTTCCCATGAGTCTGTCTTGAGAAACTGCCAGCCAAGGGGCGATGGCAGAGAGACTGGCGTTGAGCACCGAGTCCGC